GTCCATGAGGCACACACCGCACGCCTGGGCCGGACCACACCTGGAGGTATGCTGCCCGTCGGCGTAGGAGGCGATGGCAGACGTGGCGACGCCCGGTGGCAGTCCATTACTCAGGGCGTTGACGCGCAGGGGACCCCGCTCACCGCTTAGGCAGGCAGACGCAGCAGCGTGTCCTCCTGCCCTTCTGCACAGGTGGCGGGGGGGCGAGACGACAGCTCCACCAAGAGCAGGGCGGCCAAGGGATGACTCCGCCACAAGCAGCGAGTGCAGAGACCTCCACCGCGCCCTGGGCAGCGCCGCTGTTAGCAGGAGCTCACAAGTGGAGCATGCTGTCGGCACTCTGTGGAGGCTCGAGAACGATGACTCTAGAGAAAAGAAAAAGAAAAAGCCACTAAATCAGCAGTTTTTATTTTAAAAAAATTTAGTGAAAGCATAGAATAGTAACATAATACATTTCCATTTCACTTTTGTGTTTTTGTTAATTTGACTGACCCACAGGTGGGTTCAAACATAGTTCAAACCAACAGATCTTTAATTTAAAGTCTGGAGGAGATTCTTAACGTTTCTAAAGAACACAAATATGTCAGGCTGAATTTGATGAATTTGCATATAGAATTATGCAAAAGATTTCCACAGCATTTCAATTTGATGGAATAGTTCAGCCATCAAAAAATTACTTTCTTTAACATCAACCACAAACCAAAACAGAATATTCTGCATATTATAAATGAGATGTGGAATGAGATGCTTTTAAAAACCTTAAAGCTACTTCAGGAGAAAACTGTCCATTTGATCTCAGAGTTGAAAAATAAAACCATACCATGCTTCAGATCCTCTGGCACCAGGGTTTATTTGAAGCTGGAGGTCTGTCCTGCAAACAGAGAAGTGACTATGAATCTCACAGTCTCACAATACAATCAGCTGTACAATGTAAACACACAATGGTGAGAAACCAGCAGAGTCCTCTGGCATTATGGGAAGAGTGAACTACAGACTTTAGCCTACCACTGTAAGAGTTGTGAAAGCTCCCTTGCACGCCGTCTTTTGCTTTAAAGACCAAAGTGTCTGACAAGTGTGTGTGTTATAAATAGAGCTGAGCACTGACAGAGAAATGTTACACAGGTGGTCGGTAACATGGTTTGGGTTACCAGCCCTCTCAGGCACTTACATCAGGAAATCACCTTCTTCCCTTTTATTCATATTGTGGTCCTGGGTATAATTGATTTCAACCTGCGGAAAGCAAAATGAGGTTGAGTCTTGACCTCTAGTGTGAAACCAAAACACAGACAGTGTGCATTTTATGTCATTCTATCATTCTAACAAGAAGATTAGCTGTTTATTCTCCTCAGACACATTCATTCATCCCCAGAATGAAGAGATTTTTAGATAAGGTTTGCCTGTGCCTCGAATCCACTGCAGCAGAGTGAGAAACTAAGGGGGAGTTATTTCTCCTGCTGAAGCTACTTGGGTGCTTCTTGGCTAATTTTAACCTGCCAGTTCAAAGAGCACGCGGACCGAATGCAACACTATAAACCGTTAGAGAGGAAACACGTCTTGCGGTGGCACCTTGGTAAGATCTTTGTCCAGATAAGGTTTGATCTCATTGTGAATGAGTTGAAATGCCTTGATAATGTCTATTTGTGTTCATCTAAATTGCAGCAGAGTGAAACAACTCGTAATACAACTGTAGAAGTTAAATACTTCAGTTTTTAGTGCTCATATGATTACCGTTGAGATTCTTTCTGTCAGACATTTAACTGATGAATGAGTGCTTTGGAACATTTGTGTTATGCTCACAGTGCATGAAGGACAAGTTGTTGTTGTTGCATCAGTGCAAAATGTCCTGCTGACTTGTTGTGTGGCCTATATCACTGGTTCCCATCCTGGGGGTTCAGTTAACTTTATACCGTATTGTGCTCATTTAGGGGGTCAAGAGAGAACAGGATGGACCAAAAGAAAAATACCCAAACATTTTGGGAATGAGACAATCATTTTGCTACTTCGGGCCTCTAAAAATCATTCAAATATCACTCTTTGGTTGACATGTGTGACTGCTGGTGATGTATCATAAGAAGACATTGCTTTGTTTTCAGGGGTCACAGGCCAAATAGGTTTGGGATCACTGGCTAATGTGATTCACTATTTAGGGCTGATGTTACAGATTATGAATATATGTCAATTTTCTGTTTTTCTCTTGCAGTATTATAAAACATCTGATTCAAAGTCCTGTAGAAATGGTGAGTCACAGACTTTACAGTTATAATTACTGGGGTTGAAGTAAGGATTAAGCATTATACAGCCTTGATGTACCAATAATTGATATGCTTTATCTCTCTGACATCTTTCTCCTTAATTATTGTTTCATCCTAGTTGGCTCCACTGTTTTTCTTTCCAATCAGAGTCATCGTTCTCGAGCCTCCA